AATCATGCAATCAGCTGTTGGTGTCATTTCATCCACTTACTCATTCCTTCACCTGTTCTGCTGCGTTGTCCTGTCGATGGTTTCATCGCTTCCTGTACAGTGGGTGATGCACCAACGCACCACAGCGCGCTTGATGTCCTCTCATCATCATGCCTTACTAGTAAGGTTGACGGACTAGTGAGCACTTCCTTGTAATGCGAAATATGCTCGTGAGTCCCCCATTGAGCCGCTTCTCCATTTTTATCTTGCATTTTAATTGCCTTTCTTGCTCACCTGGCCTTCCTTTTTGCTGCATAATTCGACAAATTTCATCTAACCAAATATATTTAAAACTGTATCGGCATGCTGTAAAATGCCTAACCGTACATTAGGAATGAAAGTGCGGTATGACAATCCTCACCAATTGATGGTGGCAGAACAATCCCACATTTTAGCCGGTCAGTCCTTTCAATTGTCATTCCATCCACTCTACACCTTTCGAATGATCGAGAGGAGTTAATAGAAGCAGTAAGGATTTTCCTTTTTTTTCTCTGCCGTCTGTATAAGCCTGCTTCAAATGCGGATTCCCTCACCCCTCCTCCATCAACCCACCCACCAATTACGACTCTTTACCTCGTTCTCTCTCACGCTTCTATGCTGCCGTATTTTTTACATTTCGTTCTTCTAAATAAACGTCATTTCATGAGTAAAGGTTTCCCGATTCTACCCTCAGAAAATTTTTTTAAAGCCAATGTTCTCACCCTATTTGACTAGTTTGATTAATTTTAGCGCCTCAAGCGGTGCCAAGAGTGGAATGGGACGTAACTACTGATTTACCGAAATGATAGTCCTCTACGTTGCGTATCCGTTCCAGCTCTGACTTTGTGGTGACTAAATGCCTCTAGGCTAGGATTGCTTCTCCAAGGGTTCTTCTATTTTCCCACCTCTCCACTTCGGTGCCCTGTTCCAGCCTCTAGTGGTATTCTGTCACAATACCTGACTAAAAGGAGGAAAAGAGGTGAAGTTGCCTAGTAATTCGTGGATTCACTAAATTTTCCATGTCCATGCATCACTGAATGTGCATCTCCTTGATTGTGAAGCGCTCAGAAAGAAACTGACGCATTGCGACTGATGCAATTGTAAGTACGTGAGAAATACGACACGTCGTCATCTCCACCCATTTGAGAAAATTCTTCGTTGCTATGCCTCTTGCTCATTTCTTAGTGTCACGCGCTATGGATGTGTTTCGTGAGCCACTCCTAAAGAAAGTTAAGGGTGTAAATTTTGCAAGTGAGGTGAGGCTTTTGTTCGATTGCATTCGACCTTATCCACCCGTCCACCGCTTGCATGAAGTACAGAACCACCTTTTGTCCCCTGACTTGAGCGTCGTGTAGGCTCGGGGCTACTTGCGATTTGCGTCGCTCCTTAGCGATGGGTAAACGCAAAATTGGATAAGACTACTCGATAATTTCTCCTAGCCACTCTTTGTAGATGCTTCGAAGGTGGCAAAGAGAAGTGTGCACAGTACTGGCCCGAGGGTTCGGCACAAACATTCAATTCGAAGAAACGCAGTGTGGAAGTTTGGAAGGAGAGTGAAGGGTCCTCCGGTAGCGTCATACGTCGTCAGTTGAAAATCCGTCCCTCGGGTGAAGCATCGGTAGGTAGTGTCTTCGAAAACAATGAACAGATTTTGTGTAGCTTGCTTACGAGACTTCTTCTCACACAACTTTTCAGCCGTGGACAGTCACCCAGTTCCAATTCACAGGCTGGGGGCACAACGATCTCCCGGATATGGAGTCGTTCTACAACCTCGTCGTTATACAAAACAATATCTTGGCTACGCATTCCGTAGGATATGGGTTTGGCCCAACTGTCGTGCATTGTAGGTGGGTCAAAGCCCTGTCTTCGACCGACGCTTTGCTTTAACATGAGATGCCAACGATTGTATGTAGGCTGAGGTGGGCACCAACGCCTGTTGTAGGCTAGAAGTTGGCTTTATCTACTTTTAGTGATGGCGTCGGTCCAACGGGCACATTTATGGTTGCTTGCTTTCTCCTTGATCGTCTGCGAATGAATCCCCAAAGTGTGGACATCATTGGTACCATTCTGGCGACGCAAAAGTGGCGTGCTAACTTGGCGCAGACTTGGGTGCGTTATTTCTTTGCGCTACACTCAACCGTCCCTTCTTCGATGACAACGGCTCACTTTTTTCCTTTCTTTGAACTGTTCAGTCACAGCTACAATTCCTCTATAACTTCGTTGACTTCTGCATCGACAGAGAGAATATTGGTACGAGGTCGCTGGCACCATCAACAAGAATTATGCCATATGAAGCGCGTAAGGGTGCATCAACTTTGAGGGCACTATATTCAGTCTTTGCATTGACTTGCGTTTAAAATGTGGAGGAATGTCATTCCCTTTAACCTTATCTTGGCTTTTGGCATGCTTTTCTTCCACAGCTATACGATACCAGAACCTTACGGATCCTTCTCAGTTAGGCGGAGTAGGATGTAAGTTTTCGTTATAGCTACTCCTTGGATTGGCGAATGTCCTGACAGTATCTTTGGCACTTTGAATGTCTTTATGTGGGATGGGGTGGCTTAGAATGTCAAAGTTGGATTTTTGTGAAAAGCAACATGTACATCAAGTGTTATCCAGCTTAACTTTAACTTCGTTTTGCGCACACCGACTTTTGTTGTTGCAGGTACAACTTACCGAACCCTTGCAGACCATTTACAGTTGACTCGAGAGCAGCGTAAGTCTTCATTATTAAAAGCGCTTTTTTGGGTTGGAGAGGGTGGCAGCACTACGTTAAGCGCTTCGACTGTCAGATCCCAAGGACTTGCTATGGATCTGAACGGGGAGGCAACTGAGTTCATTGACCCTAACCCTGACGCGTATTTTTTCTCTTTCTTATGTAGCTGTTGAGTACGACAGCCCTGTGGATCCTTTTCAGTCGAATGCGGTAGAATGTAAGTCGGTTTTAAATTTTGTCATTTCGATAGAAGTGGGAGCTGAACTTGGGAGCACTGATCGGCTGCATACTTTGGCATCACCATAGTGCCTATTCTTTAAAAAAATTAGAATTCGGATGTAAATTGCGCTTAAGATAAACTTCTTTAACCGTAGAACTCTTCTACCTCTCTTCAAATTTATTTACCCTCTTTAATTAAGACGGTGAAGGTCCGAACCTCTAGAGGCGGAAAAGAATGGTGAACGGCAGTACGGTCTGCATGCGTGCCATTTACATCCTCAGACATGGTTTACTTACTTGTGATGCCATTGTCCTCTCCGGAGGCGTAATGAGCCACAGTTATGCTTTACGCATGCAAGGTCTGGAATTTTTGGAATATGGACGTAAATGTGTTGGTGAAGGTCGAGTCGTGGCATACACATTAGCCTTGTGGTTGTTGCGTTTTCGCCTTCCCGTGCACTGTCGCCCTATTCACAACTTTCTCCGAAGGAGTGGCTTTGAAACAGTAATAAAGATGCAATAATATATGATCACAGCCCTAGTGGCGCTTCCGTTTTGGCAAGTCTGACTGCTACACAGTATTACTTTCTTCCGGAAAGTAGAGAGGAAAAAAAGGCCAGTAAACTCTCTGTTGGTCTTGACATCACCGTGCTCTACGGAGCGAGAAGTACTTTTGCAAGCGGGATTCGTGTGAATGTTTGCCCAACAAGGCAACCATTTAACCCGCCTCAGCACTATGCACATCGTAGACGCACTCCCTCTGTGCAAATGTCTTAGCAGCCTTTGAGCTCATTCACAGGGTGCCGAAGTGTGGCGTCGGTTTGGTGCATACTTCGCTACTTGCAGAATACTGTCAAATGTGGACAAGACTTCAATGTGAAAGTGCCTTAGTTGGAATGTTTGTCGGTCTAGTTACCCAAGGCACTCTTCTTCTATTGTGACAAACAACCTTATGCTTTACTACCACATTTGGCATTACTGACTTGTGTCTTTCGATAGCCGCTGTCAAGGTGGAATGCGTGTGACTAAGTACCAAATAAAGTGTTGTATTCATGCTTGGGGGGAACCACAGAGATTGAGGGGATTTCGCGGCTCAATGGGCAGATGAGTGGGGGAGATCGGCAGAATGGACCTGATTTGAAGCAACATCTTTCCTTTCCATTTCATTTGTGCCCCCTTCTCCACCGCCAAGGTGGATCAGATGACTCGTAGTGGACCAAAGTAACGTTTGGCTTACAATCAGGGTCTCAACTTGCACCCAGCTTTGTCGTAGTAGTCGAATGAATATTCAAGATGTGACTGTGAGACAGACTAGTCGTAAATCCGAGATCAAATGAACCAAAAGAAAGTCTTCTGGAAAACGGTGTTGACATTCAGTGCGTTGAGTTAAAGTGTAACTATGCGGCGATTGAATTTTAGATACTTGGAAATGAAGTTTTAAGGTATTGCATGAAACAGATGCCCACTGCCTGTTCCTTCTACAGAAGAATGGCTGATTTCTTGATTGTAGGAAAAATACGTTTACGCAAACAATCCGAAAATACGATTCAGGGATTTGCCCCTTATTTCTGGCCCTCTTCTTTGCTAACCTTTAGAGAATAAAGTGTTTTTACCAAGTATGATTAAGTCCTTGAATTTTACTATACGACTTGGAAGGTGATGGTTAGTAGGACGGAGAAATCTGCCATATCAACCATGGTATTACGTGGGTTTGGAGTCATTCTCCTCCCCGGTGGCTGGCGGACTGCCAGTGGATGGGTAATTCAACAGTGCTGACCTCAAGCATACTTAAACAAATGCACATTATTTGACCATTCGGCTATGGGTCGTATAACAACAGCTTCCGATGCGCTGCTCTTTGCTATTGTACTAGGAGCAAGATTTGAACAATCGAAATTGCTGTCGTGACAGTTTTGTTTGGCAATTCCTTCTTTAAATGACTAGGCGATAAGCCATTGCTGTCCAGAAGCCGACTTTGTAAGGCTAAGCATTAGTATGGCATTGCAAACAGGTAGGATTTGGAGACAAAGTATGATCGGGTGCAGTTGCATTCTGGTTCATGGGAAGGAGTTGCATGACAGAAATGGTACAATTGCAAGTGCTTCTCTGAGAGTTTTGGAAACCATTCTAATTCAGTGAACGAGGTAAGGCATGGCAGACTCCTTGCTTTGATGAAATGGCCGCTCGAGTCCTTTAACACGGCAGCTTTGTTGAGTGAGGTTGTCTCTGCACCTCATACGCAGACACGCCCTATTCCGTGGCTAACCCCATCGTTTTCATGCCCCAGTAGTTCAGCCGATCACGAACTTACGTAGTTCTCCCTGACATGCAAAACCTGGAGGCACAGGTTAATCTTGCAGTGAATTGAAGCTCAGCCAGTGTCTCATCGACATTGCAGTACTTTCATTTCAGAGTGGGTTAAAAAGGATTTATTGATATTTCCTTTGTGCGGGGAAAGTTCGACTACAGAAACGTTTTCCTATCTTTCTTTACAAACGTTACTTTAACAACAACTCAGGATACGTGAAAAGAGTGTCCGCTAGACCTGTCTCTGCCGTTCCTAATGCGGTTTGTAGCCTCTGTACGCTTCTTGACATGCAGGGATTTTCGCATCAAAATTGAAGATACTTCACGATTCAATGGTTTCGATACTGTGCACGTTAAAAGCTCCCACAATGGAAATCGTCTGCAACGAGCGGAACTTCGAGTCGCACTGGGATCCTCATTTTAGTCATTAGAGAAATTGGAACTGAAGTTAAGCTATTTTTCGGTGAAGACAAAACTTCCCAATTCATTCAAAGCATTGGTGTTCATTTGAGCTTGTCACATGTTGCCTGATCTGGGGTAAATCGTATTTCGTCCACATCATTTCAAGGATTTTAACTTTTTCGCTGCATCCATTCACATTGTCCTCCTTTGACTCACCTATTTACTTGGATCAGCCACCTCGTAGATGACGTGGCAAAGAAAATGCCTCCGACTTCAATGACTAACAGTTTGCAATGAACCAACTCTTTGACCTCAAATTCATAAACATTTTGTTTTTGGGTAAAATCGAAAGAATTTAGATATATTTTTAGAGAGTTTCGGTAAGATTCGGCTTAAATTCACTTCATATGACCAATTCCGTCTAAAGTAGTCGACATTCTAACCCTACAAGAAATCCACAGATTACACTCCCACGGCCTTTATAACAACACCTAGTAGCACTGAAGGTCGTCAAGACTCGGCCTGTCGGTATGTGTTCAAAGGTCTGAGAACTCGAAACACAATGCATTTGTGCACTCGTATTTATGAAAATTTAATCTTCTAAACAAATAGAGAATCCGTCTAAAGGAATATAGATTAATCAACCAACTAATCGGTTCATCTCGTAAGGCGAACCACGCTGCAGCCCTAATGCACCAGAAATCTCTTTATGACCACTTGATGTCTAGCGGTTAATTTAAGACTCTTCTAACACTCGTACGGTCCTCGGGTCAAGCTCAAGCCTAGCCCCTTAGTTCACCCTGGAATACATGGATTCAGTTCCGCTTTACATCCTCTTCTTCTTTGTGCAGCAGCACATTGTATAATAAAAGAGGGGCAAAGAGTTTGCTTGAAAATTCGATGGATCGAATGGCATCCGATCAGTGCAATACTTCTTTTAGGAACATCTTTATGGCTAGCAATAAATTCAGTATTTGCCTTGCTACAATGCACACGGGCTAGACTTAGAGCCAAGTCGAAGCTAAATCCGTCCCTTATTCCTCTTGAAACCACACGAAAAAACTAAACTATCGCTTCTCCTATATAGTGGCGGGACTTGAGAACCATTATTTCGTTTATGTTACCATCGGATGCCTGGAAGTTACTTTAAAGTCTGTCTCTTGTATGCTTAGGCTGGTCCTCGCGATATGCTCAGGTTTAGTTACTTTGTTTCCCATGAAAAAAAACATGTATTCAGCCCCACTTACTGCTTTTTCCACCCGGTGAGAAGTATCAAAGCTTTAGAGAAGCGTGCGCACACTATCTAATTTGTCTTTACATGGAAGAGGCCCACCGACCCACAATGTTTGTAGCATATCGGTAATTACATGCTACTTGTTACTGCCTAAATTTTTAGTGTTACCGAAATGCATACCACGAACCCAATAGGCTCTCCATTTCTTATATTCGCGGAATCATTTTAAACTTACAGTTTTTTAATTTTGAACAAAACCTTGGACGAAACTTCGTGCAAATATTATTGTTATTAGTAAGAAAATGAGAATCGTTCAGTTCATCTAATTAATTGGTTCTACATATTTGGTTTTAATAGTCCAATGCTGCACCTACTTTTTTAAGGTGTATCTTCAACATAAAGTTCCTGATCGACGAATCTTGGTCGGAGGATGCGTGGGCGTTATTGGACTATCATTGGATGTTACATAATTTCGCTGTCTGGCATAGGTTTATGCCAAGCTGACGGTAAATTCTCTCTACGAATTTTATGATTCCTAAATGCTCCTCTTTGCAAAGTTTTTAATATCGGTTACATGGCTGGTTATTTTCGCATTTCTAACAACCCTTTGGTAGCGCTTTGATGCAATTCTTTTGGCTTCACCATAATTACGCAGTCGTTTTATTTGCAATTTCCCTCCTACTTCCGCATAAAATATTTGGTCAGTTGGAATTAAGCACCGTTCAAGAGGAGAGACAGGAATGGTATGGAGCTTCAAGAAACAGTTAAAATGTGGATTACAAGTGAGGAATTTGTGGCAAATCGCTTAAAGTATTATGGTTTGATGTTATTTGTGCTGCGAAAGTTCAGTCGATTTTTACAAGTGTGCTAATTTTGTTCGATACGTGCATTAGGAAGATAAAGATAGACTATGAATAAGAGTTTACTATACTTATCTCCTTGTATGGTCCATGGTTATGTGCAAACTGTTTTATATTTTTTAAATCTATAGCCGTTGCTGCAAAACCAGGATCCAGTTAGGAATCCACACATTTTATTTTTTCGCGGGATAATTCAATGCTATTTTGTATTTCTTTCCATGAAAAATGTATTGACAGATTTAAGAAGTTAAATGCCGTTGATTCCAAACAATCCTTTTTTTAGC